GTCATCGTGCTCTTTTCTTTTCTTTTTTTTTCTCACAGATGGTGCCCAACTAACCCTATTATGCTGTGCAGTCGACAAAATTAAAAACAAACAACGCGCATGCGTGAAATTAAAAACATAAACTGGCGACAATTTACCCATCGCACCGTGAATATTGTTTTAACATTTGGCGTTTTTTTTTTTTTATAGGAGATGAGTGCTCAATAATGGAGATAGAAACCTTTACAGATATAGAGACAATGAGGACCCAACAGTGCTGCGTCACTGTCGATTTAAAGCCTCAAGAAGTCTCTCTTTTTCTACGATTCTGTCTCTCTCTTAATCCCGCCCCTTTTTTTTTAGAAAATAAATGAACTTCAGACAGTTTATCTACAATTTTTATCATGATCTGCATCTTATTCGAAAATTGGGAAAAATACGAGAAAATTTATACAAACTTTGTCGGTTGGATTTAATAAAAACTTTTAATACTTGCTGTTTGATCTCTCTCTTTCTCTCTCTCTCCTCTCTCTCTCTCTACATGTATATATATATATATATATATATATATATATATATATATATATATATATATTTGTTTGTGTGTGTGCAGATATGTAGAAAAATAGGAAAGAACACGTTAGGTAAATAATCCTGAATTCTTTAGTATTTTTGTTTTTATTTTAAAAAGAAAAACAGTGCTCCATACAGAAGTAGAGCTTAAATTATAATTATTTTTTTAAAAAAATATGATTCCTTCGTTACATAAGACTTCTCAGGTTTCAAAAACGAGAGCCGAAAACCTCAATATAATTATTAAAATTAAATTGAGTTAAAGTATAGGCTTGATAATGATTGGATAATTAATAATGTTCATGCGAACAGGTCAAAGGTCATGTTCGCAGTTCACCCCTTATTCCCAGGCTCTGGGCACAGAGGGGGTAAGTGAGTAAACACTAATATATAAGTAGACATTCACACGAATTAAGGGTCTGAAAGGGGGCAATATTAGTGTTTACACGCACAGCTCGAAAGTTGTGCTTGCAGTCATATCCTCATAAGACAATGCGCAAAATGTATTAAGGAACATGGCGGTGAAAAAGGCGGAGGAGGGGGGCATTGTGATCGTGGGCGGTAGAGAACGGGGAAGGGAGTAAACAGTAAAGACGTGGTTAAAGCAGTAGACGCTCAAAGAGGGGGGGGGTCTCATTAACAGTTTTTACACCCGCGTCAAAGGTCACGCTTTAAGTTCACCCCGTGTTATCACACCATGGGCGGAGTAAAGTTTAATCAGTTTAGTTAAATAGCAGAAGTTTAATCAGTTTAATCAAATAAATAGCAAATTCAAAGCGATTTAAACTTGATAAAACATTAGTTTAAAACAATCCCTTAAGCATGGGTAATATTCTTGTCAGATCTGGAGCGAAGTAAAATTTAATCAGTTTAATCAAATAAATCTCAAATTTAAAGCGAATTATCCTGATACAAAATTAGTTCGAAACATTCCTTGAAGCATAAGTAATGTTCGTGTAAAATTTGAAACGAATCGGTTGGAAACTGCGCAAGTTGATAGCAAAACACCAAATTTTACGCAGTTATTCACCGATTTTTCTCGATTAACTTGTATGACATTTAAAAAATGATCAAAATAATTGTTGTGTCATAAGTAATGATCGTGTAAAATTTGGAAAAAAATCGCTTGAAAAATCAGGGAGTTATGGTGAAAAAACCTGGTTTTCTAAAGTTTTTCGCGGTCTTTCGTTATATGCGGGTGGTTCGGGAAAATAAAGTTAGTCTTGAGCACTTTTAGGGTATAAGCTATCAGTGTGTCAAGTTTGACGGATATCGGTTGAAAAATGTGGAAATTTATAACGGACACAAACACAGAGACACATGCACAGACACCCACACAGACATTTTCTGTTTTATATATAGATATATGTGTATGTGTGTTTATGCATGTGTGTGTATGACTTGTCCGCACATAAATAATATAATAACTCCTCATCCTAGATATTCAGACATAAAATATCCCATTTGACTTAAAGGTTTATTATACAGTGGGGTTAAATTAGTGATCGTACACATGAAAATATTTAATATTTTTATTTGTAACATATTAAATTAACAAAACAGGAATATATCTACTGTATCAGATACTAAAAATATATGCATAAAACTAAATAATATTCCATGGTTAAGAAAATGTGGCAATATTTAAATTTTTAGGCGTTTAAAAAATGATCGTACAGTAGAACAAGAACATATTTTCTCCATTTAATATTTTGTAGCAAAGTCTTTATTGAGATCAACAGCAACCAATCTCTTCCTGGAGTCTTTAGTTAACGATTCGCATACTTTAGTAGGTATTTTGTCCCATTCTTCCTGAGTAATTGTCTTCAGGTTTTTGATGTTTGTTGGACCTCTATCACGGATCTTATTTTTTAAAAACCGCCATAAATTCTCTGTTGGATTCAAATCCGGCGACTGACTGGGCCATTGTAAGATGTTAACGTTGTTATTAGCAAGCCAATTCTTCGTACTCTTAGCAGATCTTGGGATCATTGTCCTGTTGGAAGATCCAATCAGGAGGACGCCCAAGATTCTCTACAGAAAGCGATAAATTTTCGCTTAGGATTTGTTGTTATTTTTCTGCATTCATTCTACCGTCTACAATTGCTAGTTTGCCAACACCTCGCATCGAAAAGCAGCCCCAAACCATGATACTACCCCACCAAATTTGATAAAAAAAAAGTTGGTATGGTGTTCTTTGGTGCGTAAGATTCGCCATCTTTCCTCCGTACATGATTCAGAGAATTGCGACCGAACAACTCAATTTTACTCTCATCTGCCCAAAGAACTCTTTCCCAATAAGAATTTTCCTTATCTTTATGCTCTGTCGTAAATTTCAACCTGACATCTCTATGCCATTTCAGAAGGAGTGGTGTCTTTCTTGGGAAGGGCGACTTTATACCGTCTCTGCGTAGTTCATTACTAATCGTTTGCTTAGTTACGTTAACTCCTGACAAACTCAGATCATTCTGAAGGTCTTGCCTGATGACCATTGGGTTATTTTGGACCTGTCGCATCAACTTTCTTCATAATCTAGGAGAGATCTTCCTGGGAGCACCGGGTCTGCCTTTGTTCTTAACAGTATTACGTCTTTTAAATCTTGCAATAAATGAACCAGTTGTTGAAAAAGGTATGTTCATATCACTGGAGATGTTTCTGCAACTTTTTCCATTGTTCCATAGCTTAATAATTAGCTCTTTTTGAGCACAAGTCATTTCTTTACGTCTAGCCATTATTAGAACCGTTATCAGTGAACAGTGACTGCAGAATGATCCAATTTTGAACTGAATGTTGCAATAGAGTTACCGAGAATATTCTAGAACAGTCTAGAATCTTCTACTTTGAAGTACAACCAAAATGTACCGTATTATAATGCAAAAATTGATATTGTAAGAAACACTTTTTCCACTATTCGAAATATTAAAATGTGCATATCGATGAATTTTTAATTAGAAATTGCAGATTCTGATTCTGTTGCCCCAAAATACATATATAACATTGTTATTCGAGGTTTTCATTCGCTATAAGTGATAATAACAAGCATTTGTTTGCTGTACGGTCACTTATTCAACCCCTATTGTATCAACAGAAAGTGCAACTTGCAAAGTGAGACGATAAAGCTTTGATTTGATTTGATTTGATTTTCACTACCTTGCAGATTTCAGCATATAGCAATCTTTTATATAAGGTGTGTTCAGGAGATTTCAGTTGTGACTGAGGATTGGTAATCTGCGTTTGTTAGTATAACTACAGTGAGAATGAGTTTAAAATGTAAAAAGAATTTGACCGAATTTCGATGAACGGAGGCTGAATTTAATCGCAGGCATTAAAATCATAACCATATCATAAAAAAAACACCTAAACCGCTAAAATGAATTTTATTCTTACCTTTATCGGCCGCCATTTGCTGATCATAACCTGGTGTTTACTCATTTTTACTACGGTTTGCCTTTTACACTATAAGGGATGGAAGATGGTCGGAATGGAAAGCAGAAATCTTGTTTTGTACCAGTTTTCCAAATGTACCTTTTCAGAAAATGATATTTTTTTTTATCTAAACATCCTACTTACAATGATCGATGTAAAATATGCAATTATTTGAAACATGAGAACAAGCTATTATAGATACATAGGTAGACAGATAGGAACCAACCAAAACACATAGATAGATAGATAGATAGATAGATAGATAGATAGATAGATAGATAGATAGATAGATAAAAATCAAGCAAACAAGATAGATAGATAGATAGATAGATATGAACAGAAAAATATAGATTGATATATAGATATGAACAGGCATAAACAAGATAAATAGATAGATGAACAGAAAAATATAGATAGATAGATGAATCATGAACAGGAATAGATAGATAGATAGATAGATAGATAGATAGATAGATAGATAGATAGAAATCAAATCAAACAAGATAGATAGATAGATAAAATCAAAACAAACAAGATAGATAGATAGATAGATAGATAGATAAAAACCAAGATATAGATAGATAGATAGATAGATAGGATAAAAACCAAGCGATAGATAGATAGATAGATAGATAGATAGATAGATAGAAATCAAAAGAAAGAAGAAATCAACAAGCAAGATAGATAGATAGATAGATAGATAGATAGATAGAAATCAAGCAAACAAGATATAGATAGATAGATAGAAATCAAAAGACAAGTTAACAAACAAGATAGATAGATAGATAGATAGATAGATAGATGAATGAAGATAGATAAAAAACCAAACAAGATGATAGATAGATAGATGAAAACAAGATAGATAGATAGATAGATAGATAGATATAGATAGATAGATAGATAGAAATCAAAAAAACCAAGCAAGATAATAATAGATAAAACAGATAGATAGATAAATAAATAGATAGATAGAAACCAAGCGATAGATAGATAGAATAGATAGATGAATGAATAGATAGAAATCAAGCAAACAAGATAATAGATAGATAGATAATGAAATCAAGCAAACAAGATAGATAGATAGATAGATAGATAGATAGATAGATAGAAATCAAGATAGATAGATAGATAGATAGATAGATGGGATAAAAACCAAGCAGTGCAATAGATAGATAGATAGATAGATAGATAGAATATAGAGATAGATAGATAGATAGATAGAAATCAAGCAAGATAGATAGATAACAAGATAGATGAATGGGATAGATAGATAGATAGATAGATAGATAGATAGATAGATAGATAGATAGATAGATAGAAATCAAGCAAACAAGATAGATAGATAGATAGAAATCAAGCAAACAAGATAGATAGATAGATAGATAGATAGATAGATAGATAGATAGATAGGATAAAAACCAAGCGAGTGATAGATAGATAGATAGATAGATAGAAATCAAGCAAGCAAGCTAACAAGCAAAACACATAGATAGATAGATAGATAGAAACCAAGCGATAGATAGATAGATAGATAGATAGATAGATAGATAGATAGATAGATAGATAGATAAGAACTAATCTGATAGATGCAAAACATTTTCAGGAAATGCTCATCAAATATTTGCCACCATTTCTGAGGTGAGCTACTTTTGTCGAGTGGAAAGATATAGACAAACTGAGGTATGTAGACAGATAAGAATAGGGTGAGATAGATAGATAGATAGATAGATAGATAGATAGATAGATAGATAGATAGATTTTCCTTGGGATTGAAAAATGTCAAATGTACAGAAGAACAAAGAGAGAGATTGTATAGCGCCAATTTTCTGAACAAGAACGACAGTCAAAATCTTGATTTTTAAATAGATTGGAGCACAGATCACTGGCCGTGGTGAAAAATACACAACTATCTTAGCTACTAGGCATTTCCTATAGACCATAACTTGTAGAGGTTTAGCCTTTAAAAAAGAAAGTCTTTTATTTTTCATAGACTACAGCAATCCCTGTGAACACGTCCATGACTGCATAAATATTTCCAGAGACAAATGACAGCGACCACACCAATAGTTTTGATCGAGGTTTCTCATCCGGTAACAGACAACTTGACTTCGAAACCCCACCCGCCTTCCGTAAAAAAAAAAGAAGTTATATGCAGCTGTCGACTATGTCATTATGATAGCCATGAAATACAACCTTTTTATATGGCCTGTGTGAGCTTCATACAATGTGAGGTTGTGAATGGAACTGGCTGCATAGTATTGCGCGCACACATGTTATTTTCATTTATATTTATTTATTTATTTATTCGTCAGGGTACGCTTTTATTTGCTTCGGTTATGTAATGGTCGAATCGGTGATCAGCGCATCTGGTTGTGTTTCCTGCTAAGAGAAAAAGATGATGGCGGACAGAAGATAAAAGGCGACGTGAGAAAGACGAGATTAGAACGAGAACGAAATGAAAAAGCGGAAGTCTCAAATGAGATCCGCTTGTTCAGATACCATTTGTATACGTAATGAGACTACGGTAAGTTGACGCGATAGGAACCGTGCGGGCGGAGGTATTAAAGGAAAATGGAAAAAGGAAACATTGCATGAACTAAACAAATATATATATATATATATATATATATATATATATATATATGAAGGAATATGTGTGTGTGTGTGCTATATATATATATATATATATATATATATATATATATATATATATATATATATGTGTGTGTGTGTGTGCTATATATATATATATATATATATATATATATATATATATATATATATATATATATATATATATATATATATATATATATATATATATATATATATATATTTGTGGGATATATATATGTGCTATATATATATATATATATATATATATATATATATATATATATATGTATATATATATATATATATATATATATATATAAAGAATATACCCTTAAGGTGTGCTATATATATATATATATATATATATATATATATATATATATATATATATATATATATAATATACTCTAAGGTGTATATATATATGTATATATATATATATATATATATATTTATATATGAAAGGATATGCTCTTTGTGCTATATATATATATATATATATATATATATATGTGCTATATATATATATATATATATATATATATATATATATAAAAAGTGTGCTATATATATGATATATATATATATATATGTATATATATATATATATATATATATATATATATATATATATATTTATTTATGAAAAAAGGATATGCTCTTTGTTCTATATATATATATATATATATGCTATATATACATGCTATATATATATATATATATAAAGAATATACTCTTAAGGTGTGCTATATATATATATATATATATATATATATATATATGAAGGAATATATATATGCTATATTTATGGGTTAAAGAGCTCAATATCAGAGATAGAGTGTGTGTAAATATAAAAGTGAACATTGAAGTCAACACTTAGAGGCGACAGGCTGTTTCATGCTAGACGCAATCGTCAGGCCTCGTATTCGAGATATTCAATGTCAAAATGCTCCCAAGAATTTTGGAACACCCGATAGATAGATAGATAGATAGATAGATAGATAGATAGATAGATAGATAGATATGTACAACTTAAAAAGCGTACAACGCAATGGCTCCCCGTTCTTTCCTCTATGAATGCGAAACGTAGACGTTATACCGCAGGCAGATGAAGAAAGTTTGACATGTGGACTCTTCTCTCTTTATTAAGCATCGTATCACATGATAGTATCACCAACCTTGAAAGTTTGGAGAGTATGAATTCAGCCAGCATTGAATCATTGCTTATCAAAGCACAAGTCCGCTGGATTGGCCACTTCATCCTTGTGGGACAATATCGCATTTCTAGATGCCTGTCGTACGGAGAGCTACTGTGTGACAGAGTATAGAAAGGCTGACCAAAGAAACGGTACAAAAGACGCAATCAAAACTAACCTCCACTGGTGTAAGAGAATGGACTGCCGACCGATCTCAGATATTTGCAAACATTGTTCATCTTTGGCAAACATTGTGCATCTTTGGCATTGGAGATAATCACCGACTTCCAGTGTTCCTGTTGATTCAAACTCTGCGCATCCAGATTTGATTCGCGAAGCCACATCCGGATCCACCGAGAAGTTGCAAGACGAAGAACAACAAAAGGCATATAGATCCGATTGATCCAAAACGAGATAGTTTCGTCTTGCAAGACGAATCATGGCTCTCCACAACTTCTTATTATTTGTAGCAGTTAGCAACGTTTGTCTCGTTGTTCCCGCCCTTTCAAGATTCTATCCCGCCCTTACCCAAACTTTTTAGGTATGTTTCCCTCTGTCTTCAGTGTATCCTATATGTGTAGAATTCTTTGAGCCCTCTTTCCACTTTGTGATTCCGAAACTTAAACTGTCTCTTTCTGACACGCAATCTTCTTGTTTCTATTTTCCTTAAAACCTCCTTGTTGCGCAACCCATTTGCACCCGTGTCAAAAAACGTAGATAAATATTGATCTTGTCTATACCAAAATCTGCACGTATCCAGGTGCGGCTGGGGTAACGGATCGCTTCTGAATAAGAGATCAGTCAGCCATGATTGAATATCAGGCGAATTCGTTACATTCAATTCTAATCAAATACCGTTGGGAAAAAAATGAATCCATCTCTACACTACACAAAATGGGCTCTAGAAGAATGATAACTTTGTATTCAAATTCATTTTGATAGTAGAACCAAAACGGTAGGCATATTATAGGTTTCGTCTTGCATGTTGTCTCATGGCTTCCACAACCTCTTTATTATTTGTAGCCTTTTGTCTCCAGTTTTCCAGTTTCTGCTAAAGCGAATAAGAGCCACAAATAAACTGTTGCTAATAATAAAAAAATGAAACAGAGAAAAGTTTGAGGACACAAAATGATGAAAGTAGGTTTGGAGAATTTAGAACGCGTTTTTTTTGGGGGGGGTGCGGGGAACTCGTTTACCACGTTGCAATCCAAACGCCACGTTGCAAGAAATATCACTATTTCCACAGCAAATATTCAAATGAGCTTCATTTTCTAGTTCCACCAGTTCAGACCTTCACAGCTAGTACACGCCAAGCTGCGTCCATAGAGTCGAATCACGATCATTTCTTCCGTATTCCATAAACTTCGACACTTTATGGAAGAAACCTCAGCGATGATGCTTCTCTGAACACAATAAAATTGTCTTGAGGCCAAGTCGAGTCCCAAACACGATCTAGCCTCCTTGTCCTCATAAACTTCACTTGCCACCACCTCCCCTTTCCTTCACGTCACACACCTCATTCATAATTAGCATTTTACAGTAACTCTCTACCTTGAGTGTCTCTCGATGTTTGTATTCGGTGAATTCTAGTATTAAAATAACATGAAAGGCAAGAGAAGCAAAGGACAAGGGTGAGTAACATCAGTGACAATTTTGTGCAAATGGGTCACAGAATAACAGAAAAAGAGTTATAAAGGAGAAATATTGTTGCCATAATTTGTTACGTGTTGAAATGACATAGCATAGATAGATAGATAGATAGATAGATAGATAGAGAGAGAGAGAGAGAGAGAGAGAGAAAGAGAGAGAGAGAGAGAATGAATAGTTTTCTGTATTAAAATTATAAACGCTGGACAAAATAAATAAAAAATTGCTAAAAATATCAGCGAACAGGATTTTATGATTATTACTTTTGCTGTTGTTAAATAGTAGGGCAATTTAGGCTACGTAGCCTTGGTTGGCAACCAGTCTAAGAGAGGGATAACTCTGAATTCAAAACCGTATCTAACCCTGGCAAAGCACATACTATGCATCTAAGGCAAGGGTCGTGGAATACGCCACGTTGACTTGATGATCCCGACTATGGTCGTCCTTCATGTTGTGCGGTAAAGGAATATGCTAATCAAATGACGCTAAGTTACAAATATAAGAAGCCGAATATAGTCCTTACGATACCCAGTCTGATACGGGTATGCCAGCGCGCTATATGGGGAAAAGTTTTGATAAAAACCACGCGGAATATTGCAGGTGTGACCCAGTTAGATATATTTTCAGGAATATGTTCCCAGGTATATAGGTGTGACTCCCAAGTCACCCAGACTGTCTCATCCTTCAAAGTTGACAAAACAATAAAAAAAATAAAAATAAATAAATAGACACGACACCTAGCCGTGATATTTCCCCAATACTCCCACTCATGAACAGTGAGGCACAGTGCGTGATCTCTAAGGCGACACGCCTAACTTGTTTAGGTCAGGCAAATGAAAAACAAATCTATGGTACCGAACAGAATATTTGCTGTAGATCATCTTAATACACAAAAACAAAACATGTGCATGTTAACGTCTCCAATCATTTCATAGAAAAAGCCTTGAGAACCATAAGATTATTATTATTATTATTATTTTCTTTGATTTCTGGCGTTTACACATTTCTTTCCGGGTCCCGCCTAGGGACCTAAGGTCAGAAATAGCATCATGACACTTTCCCCTGACAAATAAATAAATAAATAAATAAATAAAAAAACTACATAGATAAAGCCCTTCGTAAAGTGTGGGCTGTACTTGTCAGAACAATTTTTTGTATCTCCTTGAGGCATGGACTTCCAGGAATCCCTTCAATTAGTCTACTGCAATCTTTTCCAACCAGTCCTAGGGCTCCAACTACAACAGGGATTGTTGATGTTCCCATATGCCACATTTTCGAGATTTCTATTTCAAGGTCCTTGTACTTTGACAACTTTTTGAATATCTTCAAAGATACATTGCAGTCAGCAGGAACTGCCATATCAACAAGGAGGCACTGTTTTTGTTTGTGGTCTTTAATAACAATATCTGGGCGGTTGGCTTTGATTGTTCTGTCAGTGTGTATTGTGTAGTCCCATAGAATTATAAAAGGTCCTATCTCCGTAACCGGGTCTGTTTGCTGTTCATACCAATTTCTTTCAGTTTCCTTCCCGTAGAAGTTGCAGATTTTCCAGTGCAGATATTGGCCCACTCTGTCATGCCGGGTTTTATATTCAGTGGGTGACAATATCATGCAACCTGATACAAGATGATCAATCGTTTCTGGATATTTATCACAGAACCTTCATTTTGGGCTGACACAATATTTTAGTATATGTGCTTGATAATTCCTAGTTAAAATCCACTGATCCTGGGCAGAAAGGATAAAACCTTCAGTTTCAGCTTTTAACCCTGTACTACGTAGCCACTGATGGGTACGGGTTTTGTCTACGTCAGCTTGTTTGGTACGGGTAGAATATTGGCCATGAAGCGGTTTATCTTGCCATCGCTTCTGTATCTGGTCGGTTGCATTTGTTTTTGCTTTCTTTTTATGTATTTTGCAGCTTCAGTGGTGTATTTTGCTTTACTTGTATTTCTGCATTATTATTATTATTATTATTATTATTACTACTACTACTACTATTACGACTATGACGACGACGACTACCAACGTCCCAAAAAATGACAGTATCAGCAAACATTTTTCACTCCCAGAATTTCTTGGTCGAGGCACGACTTTCCAAACAAGTACAATTATTATTATTATTATTATTATTATTATTATTATTATTAGAAGAAGAAGAAGAAGAAGAAGAAGAAGAAGAAGAAGAAGAAGAAGAAGAAGAAACATTAATGGAACAAGGAAGTCATTGCACAAGTAAAAGTAGTCAAAAGGAACCATTGATGATAAACGATAAAATCGCATTGAAAAGAGGATTGAAACACGAAAAAATTGAGGAATCACATAAATTTGACGAAAAAACCAATAGACAAAGCAGAAGATTCTGAAAGTTTATGTAAAAGAAATTTCAGGAAAGAAAGAAAATGTTGGAATCGGTGTCGTCACGCCAACACAGATATCACGTCTTATATGACGTGAAAGAAATGTCTCGAGTTACTTTCTAATCGAAAAAACGGATAAGCTACACCTACACACAACGCACGATATATATATATATATATATATATATATATATATATATATATATATATATTCTGATTTCCCGCCGTAGGTAATTGTCTCTTTCTGAAGAAAGGTGTCTGAAACTTTAATAAAATACTGACGAATATGATCAAAAGGCAGCAACATAAAACACGATGACTGTATTAACGTAGGATGGAGATGATTAGGAGGAGAAAATGAATAAGGGAAGTAGCAGGAAGAAAAAATATTAAGAAGATTTAGAAAGAAGAAGAAGAAGAAGAAGAAGAAGAAGAAGAAGAAGAAGAAGAAGAAGAAGAAGAAGAAGAAGAAGACGTGGTGAGTGGAACGAAAATGTGAAGAAAGTCTAAGGATATTAAATAAAAATGCATTAATAAAAAAGTAGAAAAACATCAAATAGAAGAAAAATGTTTAATCAGGGTGATAAAAGGTGATAGAAAAGGTGATATGTGATAAGAGTGAGAGAGAAAGAGAAAGGAAATAAGATTAGGCAGCGAAGAAGAGAAGGAAAATAAGTGGGAGAAAAAAGAAAGAAAAATTAGGAGTAGAAGATGAAGAATATGATGAAGGTGAACATTGTATAAATATCTGGAAATAAAGAAGGAGATGGAGACGAAAATATGGCGAGAAAGAATAGGGAAGAAGAATAAGTCTATGAAAAAGATGAGGAAAAAATACCAGGCGTAGAAGAAGAAGAAGAAGAAGAAGAAGAAGAAGAAGAAAGTTGATGAAGAAGAAGAAGAGAAGAAGAGAAGAGGAAGAAGAAGGTTCACGAAGAAGAAGAAGAAGAAGAAGAAGAAAGTTGATGAAAAAGTAGAAGAATGGGAGGAGAAGACGAAGAAGAAGAAGGTTGAAGAAGAAGAAGAAGAAATTTGAGGAAGAAGAAGAAGAAGAATTGATGAAGAAGAAGAGAAGAAGAAGAAGAAGAAAGTTGATGATGAAGAAGAAGAGAAGAAGAGGAGAAGAAGAAAGTTGATGATGAAGAAGAAGAAGAGAAGGAGGAGAAGAAGAAGAAGAAGAAGAAGAAGAAGAAGAAAAAAAGTTAATAAAGAAGAAAAGAAGAAGAAAAAGAAAGTTAATGAAGAAGAAGAAAAGAAGAAGCAGAAGAAGAAGAAAGTTGATGAAGAAGAAGAAGAAGAAGAAAGTTGATGAAGAAGAAGAAGAAGAAGAAGAAGAAGCAGAAGAAGAAGAAGAAGAAGAAGAAGAAAGTTGATGAAGAAGAAAGAAAAAGAAATGAAGATCAGAAGGGCAGAGGACAGATGAAAGACAAAGAAGTTTGACAAATGAGAAAGAAATGAAAATAAACATGGGTTTATATTCCACCTTGGAAACAAGACGACAGAGGAAAGCGAGTAACGTCTCATTTCTTAAGCATGCACTCATATTCCACGTGACTTTCTTCTTGGTTTACCCGCCATTTTTAATCCGCGATAAAACCCGAAGCCATTTTTTTCACGGTGCATTAATTTTGACGATATGACGCGATAGAATCTGATGAAACCGAATCCATTTCATAAGTTTTTGTTACCTGGTATGCATCTGGTACAGATTCCATGCAAATTCGTATGAATTCTTAACAAAGCGGAATTTAGAAAATATTATTGTCTAAAAGATAATAAACATCACGGCTCCGGTTTTTAAATTGAAATTGTTGTAATTTTTAAGTAGAAAGAAAAACAAAGATTTGCCGAAATCACACATACACACAGACACACAGACACACACACAGACATACAGACAGACAGACACACACACACAGACACACACAGACAGACACACACACAGACAAACACACATACAGACACACAGACAGACACACACACACAGACAGACACACATACAGACACAGACACACAGACACACACAGACACACAGACACAGACACACAGACACACAGACACAGACACACAGACACAGACACACAGACACAGACACACAGACACAGACAGATACACAGACACAGACACACAGACAGACACACACACACACACACAGACACACACACACACACACACAGTCAGACACACACACACTGACACACACACACTGACACACACTGACACACACAGACAGACACACACACAGAGACACAGACACACAGAGACACAGACACACACACACACACACACTTATATGCACATGTATACATCTATATGCAAACGTATATCAATAAATCCGGAACCTAATGTGGAAAATAAGCGTTTATTTTACAAAAGAATTATTTATTTTTTAACATAATTGTCATTACTTATCAATGCAGTTACCCAAACATCTCTTTATAAATGACATAGATCGAACAATATACTTATATATATTATATTTGGGTTACTTTGATTTTATTTAGTTTTTTGAAACGTGATTGTAGGTAGCGCAGTGGGAATTTCCTTTCGAGTCATTTAGAAATGTGAAACGTGGGAAACCCTTTTCCCCATTTTCAGATTTTTAGGGCTAATCTAAAAGATTATTTATAGTCCTGGTCTTGAGCCACTTCATTTTATTTCGTCTTATTTTATTTTATATTTACTTTAGTTTTTTATTGTTTTATTTATTTGTATACTTTCTTCGATCCATAAATGTAGTATTTGAAATAAAGTTTATTGGTTGTAGGCTATAGGTTGAAATTTTTTAGTCTTTTAAGTCATTATATTGTTGTAGGTAGTGTAATAAGAATTTGTTTCGTTCCTGCATTTTGAAATGAGCTCTGGTCTTTTGTTTAGGGATTTATATTCTCCTGGAAAAGTTAGTCGTGCAATTTTCCTCCTCCAATGCAAATGTTACTCTTTTCAATTTGTTGTGGAAGCTGGTACTGTTTTTTTTTATTTGTCATTTGGTGTCTTTTGCTTCCAAAGCCCAGTGGTCTTCTGTTATTCCGACTTGCCGGAGAACACCGATGATGCAAAGTCTTTGACTGAAAAACAAAAATCCCACAGAATAATAATGATAATAATAATAACCGCTTCATGGCCAATACTCTGCCCGTACCAAACAAGCTGACGTAAACAAAACCCGTACCCATCAGTGGCTACGTAGTGCAGGATTGAAAGCTGAAACTGAAGGTTTTATCCTTGCTGCTAAATAGGAATTATCAAGCACATATACTAAAATATTGTGTCAGCCCAAAATGCAGATTCTGTGATAAATATCCAGAAACGATTGATCATCTTGTATCAGGTTGCGCGATATTGGCACCCACTGAATATAAAACCCGGCATGACAGAGTGGGCCAATATCTGCACTGGAAAATCTGCAACTTCTACGGGAAGGAAACTGAAAGAAACTGGTATGAACACCACCCAGACCCAGTTACGGAGATAGGACCTGTTATAATTCTATGGGACTACACAATACACACTGACAGTACAATCAAAGCCAACCATTGAATATTGTTATTAAAGACCACAAACAAAAACGGTGCCTCCTTGTTGATATGACAGTCCCTGCTGACTGCAATGTATCTTTGAAGATATTCAAAAAAGCTGTCAAAATACAAGGACCTTGAAATAGAAATCTCGAAAATATGGCATATGGGAACATCAACAATCCCTCTTGTAGTTGGAGCCCTAGGACTGGTTGGAAAAAGATTGCAGTAGACTAATTGAAGGATTCCTGGAAGTCCATGTCTCAAGGAGATACAAAAATTGTTCTGACAAGTACAGTCCACACTTTACGAAGGGCTTTATCTATGTAATTTTTTTTTTTTTGTCAGTGGAAAGTGTCATGCCATTTCTAACCTTAGGTCCCTGGGCGGGACCCGGAAAGAAATGTGTAAACGCCAGAAATCAAAGAAAATAATAATAATAATAATAATAATGAGAAGAAGAAGAAGAAGAAGAAGAAGAAGAAGAAGAAGAAGAAGAAGAAGAAGAAGAAGACCAACAACAGCAACAGCAATAACACCACCAACAAAAAGGTGACAAAAATTTCCTAAATAATTTATGTAATAATAAATGCATTAAAATCAATTACTATGCATTTTTATTGAAGTGGTTGACATTTATAAAAAAGCTGTTTTTGGTGAGCAGTCGTAAGACTATTGATTTGAAAATGGATGAATTTTAGCCGGAAGTCGCCGCAATTTATTTCTTCCTTTTGGACCTCACAAGTATTTATTGATTCTTGGATAGTGTCATTGAACCCCTAGAGGTTACTATTGATCCCTGATTTCGACCCATTACCACCGTGCACTTCTTCAGTGTTGTTGTGAGACTGTCATCTGAGGGATCAAACTATGTCCTATCATGTTCAATGAGGAAAAAAGATTCTGCTTTCATGCAAATAAAAGTTGCAACGTAGATCTAAATGAACAAAACGTTCCAGTGTGTATTAATCCACATCATACCTGACCAACTCCTGGTGTGGGGTGTTATAAGACAGAACTCTCTCATATCTTTAGCGATTGTAAACGAAATGTTGAACAGCGGTTTTTATGTCCAGAACCTTTTTACAACATTTTTAATGCCATTCCTGTAACAGAAAAGACATGTTCTGTTCTAGCAGCATGCTACCTGCCCGCATGTTGTCCGTGCTATACCTTACTAGATGTTCAACAACTTTCCTTGCCGCCGTGACCAACTGTTCAGTTTCTTCCCACATTGAACATGATGGGACTATACCTGACGCGTTCAATTAGTCCGCCTACAACTCTTGCTGTATTGTGTCAAAAGCTGCGAGAGGTTTGCAGTAATGTATCGTAGGATCATATTCCCCATCAGTATACGTGTGAGAACGCACGTCTGTTTAATAGTCATATATATATATATATATATATATATATATATATATATATATATATATATATATATATATATATATATATATATATATATTCCTATATTATATATATCATTTCCGTTAAGTTAACCATATAAATAGGTCAACGATTCGGTCCCACCTACCCCCTACCCCAATATAAAAGCATGTTAAGAAAATATGACATTAACCCCTCCCTATACTCTACCTTGTCTAGTTAACTAACTATCACCCTCCTGTTAAATTACAAAAATTATACTACCCATCAATTTCTAATCCCATTTTTTCCTTTCGTTTCATTGTTGGAATTGTTACCGGATGATCCGGAGTCCTTTAAAAAGGTTTTTGGTGAAATAAATTATTCTAATGGTACCTTAAAGTGGTCTGTTTTTCATTAA